ACCAGTACCACCAGGAACTTCTATGTACCTGCCTACCAGTAAAGTACTGGTAGTATAGTACACCAGTACCACCAGGAGCTTCTATGTACCTGCCTACCAGTAAAGTACTGGTAGCATGGTACACCAGTACCACCAGGAACTTCTATGTACCTGCCTACCAGTAAAGTACTGGTAGCATGGTACACCAGTACCACCAGGAACTTCTATGTACCTGCCTACCAGTAAAGTACTGGTAGCATGGTACACCAGTACCACCAGGAACTTCTATGTACCTGCCTACCAGTAAAGTACTGGTAGCATGGTACACCAGTACCACCAGGAACTTCTATGTACCTGCCTACCAGTAAAGTACTGGTAGCATGGTACACCAGTACCACCAGGAACTTCTATGTACCTGCCTACCAGTAAAGTACTGGTAGCATGGTACACCAGTACCACCAGGAACTTCTATGTACCTGCCTACCAGTAAAGTACTGGTAGTATAGTACACCAGTACCACCAGGAACTTCTATGTACCTGCCTACCAGTAAAGTACTTAGTAACACATTTTCTTATGCCCAACAAATTCAGTTGTTAACACAATTACAGATCTCGATGTGATTACTAATGCAATTAAAAATGTGATCATCTAAAATCAGTGTATTTGAAGTTATGTTGGTGTGTGTGTGTGTGTGTGTGTGTGTGTGTGTGTGTGTGTGTGTGTGTGTGTGTGTGTGTGTACTCACCTAAGTGTTGTTGCAGGCGTCGATTCACAGCTCCTTGCCCCGCGTCTTCACTGGTCGCTACAAGGTCATTCTCTCCCTGCTCCATGAGCTTTATCATACCTCTTCTTAAAGCTATGTATGGATACTACCTCCACTCATGGAACTCCGTGTTCATCAAGAACTACAAGAAGCCCCTATCACGAGCTTTTACCATCATATGGAGAGGGAGCATGGACACGGGGGTCGTCCCACAGTTACTAAAAACAACAGACATAGCCCCACTCCACAAAGGCGGCAGTAAAGCAATAGCAAAGAACTACAGACCTGGAGTTTACCTGGAGAGAGTTCCGGGGGTCAACGCCCCCGCGGCCCGGTCTGTGACCAGGCCTCCTGGTGGATCAGAGCCTAATCAACCAGGCTGTTACTGCTGGCTGCACGCAATCCAACGTACGACCGATAGTACTAACATCCCATATCATAAAAATCTTTGAAAGGGTCCTAAGAAGCAAGATCGCCACCCATCTAGAAACCCATCAGTTACACAACCCAGGGCAACATGGGTTTAGAGCAGGTCGCTCCTGTCTGTCCCAACTACTGGATCACTACGACACGGTCCTAGATGCACTAGAAGACAAAAAGAATGCAGATGTAATATATACAAACTTTGCAAAATCCTTCGACAAGTGTGACCACGGCGTAATAGCGCACAAAATGCGTGCTAAAGGAATAACAGGAAAAGTTGGTAGATGGATCTATAATTTCCTCACAAACAGAACACAAAGAGTAGTAGTCAACAGAGTCAAGTCCGAGGCAGCTACGGTGAAAAGCTCTGTTCCACAAGGCACAGTACTCGCTCCCATCTTGTTTCTCATCCTCATATCTGACATAGACAAGGATGTCAGCCACAGCACCGTGTCTTCCTTTGCAGATGACACCCGAATCTGCATGACAGTGTCTTCCATTGCAGACAATGCAAGGCTCCAGGCGGACATCAACCAAATCTTTCAATGGGCTGCAGAAAACAATATGAAGTTCAACGATGAGAAATTTCAATTACTCCGATATGGTAAACATGAGGAAATTAAAACTTCATCAGAGTACAAAACAAATTCCGGCCACAAAATAGAGCGAAAAACCAACGTCGAAGACCTGGGAGTGATCATGTCGGAGGATCTCACCTTCAAGGACCATAACATTGTATCAATCGCATCTGCTAGAAAAAATGACAGGATGGATAATGAGAACCTTCAAAACTAGGGATGCCAAGCCCATGATGACACTCTTCAGCTCGCTTGTTCTATCTAGGCTGGAATATTGCTGCACACTAACAGCACCTTTCAAAGGAGGTGAAATTGCTGACCTAGAAAATATAGAACCTTCACGGCGCGCATAACGGAGATAAAACACCTCAATTACTGGAAGCGCTTAAAGTTCCTGAACCTGTACTCCCTGGAACGCAGGCGGGAGAGATACAGGATTATATACACCTGAAAAATCCTAGAGGGACTAGCACCGAACTTGCACACGAAAATCACTCCTTACGAAAGCAAAAGACTTGGCAGACGATGCAACATCCCCCCAATGAAAAGCAGGGGTGTCACTAGCACGTTAAGAGACAATACAATCAGTGTCAGGGGTCCGAGACTGTTCATCTGCCTCCCAGCATATATAAGGGGATTACCAATAGATCCCTGGCTGTCTTCAAGCAGGCACTGGACAAGCACCTAAAGTCGGTACCTGACCAGCCGGGCTGTGGCTCGCACGTTGGATTGCGTGCAGCCAGCAGTAACAGCCTAGTTGATCAGGCTCTGATACACCATGAGGCCTGGTCACAGACCGGGCCGTGGGGGCGTTGACGCCCGGAACTCTCTCCAGGTAAACTACATCACTTTCGAAGCTATTCCACTTCCTGACAACTCTATGACTGAAGAAGTACTTCCTAACATCCCTGTGATTCATCCGAGTCTTTAAAATCCAACTGTGACCCCTTGTTGCTGTGTCGATTCCTTTCAGTATTTTATATGTCGTTATCATATCCCTATTGCTCCCGTCCAGCAGTCGTCAGGTCGATTTCCGTTATCCTCTCCTTGTAGGACATGCCCCTTAGCTCTGGGACTAGTCTCGTTACAAACCTTTGCACTTTCTCTAATTTCCTGACGTGCTTGGCCAGGTGTGGGTTCCAAACTGGTGCTGCATACTCCAATATGGGTCTGACGTACACGGTGTACTGAGTCCTGAACGATTTCTTACTGAGATGTGCTTGGTATGTGTGTGTGTGTGTGTGTGGTATATATATATATATATATATTATATATATATATATATATATATTATATATATATATATATATATATATATATATATATATATATATATATATATATGCTGAATAGGTAAAACTGGTTAATTAGCAAGAACTCATTTAAAATTAAATCCTCTCGAAAATTTTCTCTTATACGTTTAAAGGTGCATTTTTTCATTTATATTAACGTAAAAATTAATAATTTTGTACCAAAAGAACCTTAGAAAACTTACCTAACCTTATTATAACAAACACAATTTAATTTAGATCAATCTAACTAAATATATTTTGGATAAGTTTACAATAATTTAATAATAAACAAACACAATGAAAGGTTCAGAACGATTATTGCAAAATTATTGCATACACAAATTTTCGTTTGCCTTATTCGGCATGAAAAGCGTTGCTATTTAAGCCAATATCGCAAGTTTTCACCTATTCGGCAAGACATTATATACCAAGACAGTTGCCAGCGGTATTTACCAAGAGTCCTCACAGTCGTATATGAAGACAACCTTCAGTACCGGGTATGAAGAATTGAGACACTTATGCAACACATGGGAATCTTTATTGAAGAAACGTTTCCCCACACAGTGGCTTCATCAGTCCAATACAAAGTAGAAGTGGGTAAGGAGAGTAGAAGTTTGAGGTAATCAGTCCCTCAACCTGGAATCGATGTGTTCAGTCCATCACTCTTGTAGGAAGTGCAGCATAGGGCCAGAGAGGTGGCTTATATACTGCGGTGAGATGATGTGATCCCGCCTCCCCCTGCTTGGACTCGTCTCGCCGCAGTATATAAGCCACCTCTCTGGCCCTGTGCTGCACTTCCTACAAGAGTGATAGACTGAACACATCGATTCCAGGTTGAGGGACTGATTACCTCAAACTTCTACTCTCCTTACCCACTTCTACTTTGTATTGGACTGATGAAGCCACTGTGTGGCGAAACGTTTCTTCAATAAAGATTCCCGTGTGTTGCATAAGTGTCTCAATTCTTCAACTTTTCGGTTTTCAAAACCATTCATCACATCTGTCAGACACTGCAACATCATGGAATCTTGGTACAAAGACTTCAACGCTTGCCCAACCTTTGACGACGACTACTTACACTAGTACAGTCCACTGTGATCCCGCCTCCTCCTGCTTCAACTCATCTCACCGCAGTATATAAGCCACCTCTCTGGCCCTGTGCTGCACTTTCCACAAGAGTATAGACTGAACACATACATTTCCAGGTTGAGGGACTGATTAACCTCAAAACTTCTACTCTCCTTACCCATTTCTACTTTGTATTGGACTGATGAAGCCACTGTGTGGCAAAACGTTTCTTCAATAAAGATTCCCATGTGTTGCATAAGTGTCTCAATTCTTCAACTTGTCGGTTTTCAAAACCATTCATCAGTACCGTGTGTGTGTGTGGTGTGTGTGTGTATAAATATATATAATATATATATATATATATATATATATAATATATATATATAGATATATATATATATTATATATATAATATATATATATATATATATATATTTTTTTTTTTTTTTTTTTTTTTTAGTCAAATGGGGTCCACCTCTGGTGTAAATTGTGGGACCCATAGCCTCGGATAAGTGGATAAAAAGGCTTCAAGGAAGAATATTTGGATTTCTTCCTGAAGCCGTTTGAATATTCCACTTCCCCTACCACCCCATCTTTTAATATATATTTTTTTTTTACTAATAGGAATATTTTATTACATAATATGGTACAGAAGATTTAAGAGATACATTATTGATATAAAGGTGGCATATATACGGTTGTTCTGCATACCCAGTGGTAAATATCACTGGGTATGTCTTGGTATATATGACTGTTAGGTCTCTTTGTATATACAGTTGCATAAGTATGGAAGATAAGGAACAATCCATGGCATGAAAATCTTGAATTACCATATAAAAACTGAGGGAATAAACACACAAAAAATTGTCTGCAGCTTTTAGAAAGTCATGAAAGGGAAGCTAAGGTGTATTTCATGGGGAAGGAGGCAAACATAGGCAAAACATGCAACACAAATTCGAAAAACAGCGATGTTGGAGGGGAATAAGACTGAACTCACGTATATCTGATCTCTCTTGTATCTGGTGTGAAGGTTGTGTAGGAGGGCATCGTCAGTGATGGGGTACAGGGCGGCACAGTCCGGGCAACCCACCTCGCCCTCCAGGGAGGGCACGCCCACGCCCACCAGGGACCCGGCTGAGCCCGCCCGCGACGTGCTGCTGGAACTGCAGGTTGAGCCCACGACGTGGCCGCCCACGGGGCCGCCCACACCGCAGCCCATACTGCCCACCGAACTCTGGGAGCAGAGCGATGACAGGCCAGAGGGACGCCCACGCACGCTCATGTCCCGCCCACGCCCGCTCACCACTGTCCAAGAGAGTCAATGTAACTATGATGTCTGCCACAATGACAATGGGCATGCAACATTCATACATCATTCATACGTGTATACAACAAACATGTACAACATACGTGTGTACAACATACATACAGTAAACATTGTATGTTGCACATTTACACACAACGCACATACGGGGACCACAGACATACAATGTAAGAACATACATTATATATACAACATATACGATGTATGTACATATATATATCCAGTATATATATACACAATACAATGTGTGTACAACATACATCGTGTGTTCAACAGGAGGCCAGGAGCTGAGTCTCGACCCCTGCAACCACAATTAGGTGAGTACAATGGAAGAGGTTCAGAAGGCAAAGGACCCAGGAAAATAAGAAACGAGTATGCACAGATAAGGAGGGAGGCCCAGCGACAGTACGAAAACGACATAGCATCGAAAGTCAAGTCTGACCCGAAACTGCTGTATAGCCACATTAGGAGAAAGACAACAGACAAAGACCAGGTGATCAGACTGAGGAAAGAAGGTGGGGAACTCACAAGAAACGATCAAGAGGTATGTGAGGAGCTCAACACGAGATTTAAGGAAGTATTCACAGTGGAGACAGGAAGGACTCTGGGAAGACAGGACAGAGGGGGTCACCAACAGGGAATACACCAGCAAGTGCTGGATGACATACACACAACTGAGGAGGAGGTGAAGAAGCTGCTAAGTGACCTTGATACCTCAAAGGCAATGGGACCGGACATCTCCCCATGGGTCCTTAGAGAGGGAGCAGAAATGCTGTGTGTGCCATTAACCACACTCTTCAACACATCCCTTGAACCTGGGCAACTACCCGAGGTATGGAAGACGGCAAATGTAGTTCCCACTTTTAAAAAAGATGACAGAAAAGAGGCACTAATCTACAGACCAGTGTCACTAACGTGTACAGTATGCAAAGTCATGGAGAAGATTATCAGAAAGAGAGTGGTGGAGTACCTGGAACGGAAAAAGTTTATAAACGACAACCAGCACAGATTCATGGAAGGCAAATCCTGTGTCACAAACCTTCTGGAGTTTTATGACAAAGTTACAGAAGTTAGACACGAGAGAGAGGTGTGGGTTGATTGCATTTTCTTGGACTGCAAGAAGGCCTTCGACACAGTTCCTCACAAGAGACTAGTGCAGAAACTAGAGGATCAGGCGCGTATAAAGGGAAGGGCACTGCAATGGATAAGAAAATACCTGACAGGGAGGCAACGAGTCATGGTATGTGACGAGGTATCACAGTGGGCACCTGTGATGAGCGGGGTCCCACAGGGGTCGGTCCTAGAACCAGTGCTATTTTTGCTATATGTGAATGACATGATGGAAGGGATACACTCAGAAGTGTCCCTGTTCGCAGATGATGTGAAGTTAATTAGGAGAATTAAATCAGACGAGGATCAGGAAGGACTACAAAGAGACCTGGACAGGCTGGACACGTGGTCCAGCAACTGGATTCTCGAATTCAACCCTGCCAAGTGCAAAGTCATGAAGATCGGAGAAGCGCAAAGAAGACCACAGACAGAGTAAAGGCTAGGTGGCCAAAGACTGCAAACCTCGCTCAAGGAGAAAGATCTTGGGGAGAGTATAACACCGAGCATGCCTCCGGAAGCACACAACCAGATAACTGCTGCAACATATGGGCGCCTGGCAAACCTGAGAATAGCGTTCCGATACCTAAGTAAGGAATCTTTCAAGACACTGTACACCGGGTACATCCGGCCCGTACTGGAGTATGCAACACCTGTTTGGAACCCGCACCGGGTCAAGCACGTTAAGAAATTAGAAAAAGTACAAAGGTTTGTGACAAGGTTAATTCCAGAGCTAAGGGGAATGTCCTACAAAGAAAGATTAAGGGAAATCAGTCTGACGACACTGGAGGGCAGGCGGATTATGGGAGACATGACAACGACATACAAAATACTTCGTGGAATAGACAAGGTGGACAGAGACAAGATATTCCAGAGAGGGGACACAGAAACGAGGGGTCACTCTTGGAAGTTGAAGACTTTGATGAGTCAAAAGGATGTTAGGAAGTATTTCTTCAGTCATAGAGTTGTCAGGAAGTGGAATAGTCTAGCAAGTGATGTAGTGGAGGCAGGAACCATACATAGCTTTAAGACGAGGTATGATAAAGCTCACGGAGCAGGGAGAGAGAGGACCTAGTAGCGTCCAGTGAAGAGGCGGGGCCAGGAGCCGAGTCTCGACCCCTGCAACCACAATTAGTTGAGTTAGGTGAGGTGAGTGCACACACAGAAAATGAGTGATTATAAATAGTAGTAATAATAATAATAATAGTATTAGTATTAATAATAAAAGCAGTAATTATATAAACAATAACAACATCAATATAATATCAAGAAGAGAGAAAATTATTTATATATATACATATATATATATATATATATATATAATATATATATATATATATATATATTAATATATATATATATATATATATATATATATATATATATATATATATATACACACACACACACACAAATAATTAAGTATCCGTGAAGGAGAACCTTTTAGAGGCTGCCTGATATTTTTTTCCTTCCAGCAACGTTTCGATTTTCTTTCACTCATAACTTGAGAACCCTCATCCTACCGGAATCAAATTTCCAACACTTGTGTACGGTAACAAGGACCAGCATCCTAGTATGGTGGTGATATCAGTAGTGGCGAAGGACATATTTATGCATATACACTTGAATACACATGCACAAGTATTCATCTGTACATGTATACATACATGTTGCATACATAGAAACATACAAACAAGCACATTCACATACACATATACATGCAAAAGCCTACATAAAGAATGGTAAAGATATACACATCATGTATACATCCGCGCGCGCACGCACACACACACACACACACACACACACACACACACACACACACACACACACACACACACACACACACACACACACACACACACACACACACACACAAATAGTTGTGTACTCACCTATTTGTGTGTACTCACCAATTTGTACTCACGTATTTGTGGTTGCAGGGGTAGAGTCACAGCTCCCGGGCCCCGCTTCCTTGCTGTTCGCTACTAGGTCCACTCTTTCCTTGCTCCGTGAGCTTCATCGTGTGTGTGTACTCACCTAATTCACCTAATTGTGGTTGCAGGGGTCGAGACTCAGCTCCTGGCCCCGGCTCTTCACTGACCGCTACTGGGTCCTCTCTCTCCCTGCTCTATGAGCTTTATCATGCCTCGTCTTAAAACTATGTATGGTTCCTGCCTCCACTACATCACTTGCCAGACTATTCCACTTCCTAACAACTCTGTGGCTGAAGAAATACTTCCCAACATCCCTTTGACTCATCTGAGTCTTCAGCTTCCAAATGTGACCCCTTGTTCCTGTGTCCCATCTCTGGAACATCCTGTCTCTGTCCACCTTGTCTATTCCACGCAGTATTTTGTATGTCGTTATCATGTCTCCTCTGACTCTCCTGTCTTCCAGTGTCATCAGACCGATTCCCCTTAACCTTGCTTAGTAGGACATTCCCCTTGGCTCTGGAGCCAGCCTTGCTGCAAACATTTGCACTTTCTCTAATTTCTTGACGTGTTTGACCAGGTGTGGGTTCCAAACTGGTGTTGCATACTCCAGTATGGGTCTGACGTACAGAGTGTATATTGTCTTGAACGATTCCTTACTGAGGTACCAAAACACTATTCTCGGGTTTGACAGGCGCCCATATGCCAAGCCAATGATGATCCTTTTCAAATCACTTTTTCTCTCTAGGCTGGAATACTGCTGTACATTAACATCTCCATTCAAAGCAGGTGAAATTGCAGATCTAGAGAGTGTACAGAGAACCTTTACTGCACGTATAAGTTCTGTCAAGCACCTTAACTACTGGGAACGCTTGGAAGCACTTGACTTGTACTCGTTGGAACGCAGGAGGGAGAGATATATCATAATCTACACTTGGAAAATCCTGGAAGCAATGGTCCCAAATCTGCACACAGAAATCACTCCCTAAGAAAGTAAAAGACTGGGCAGGCGATGCAAAATGCCCCCAGTTAAAAGTAGGGGCGCCATTGGTACACTAAGGGAAAACACCATAAGTGTACGGGGCCCAAGACTGTTCAACAGCCTCCCATCAAGCATTAGGGGAATTGCCAATAAGCCCCTGGCTGCCTTCAAGAGAGAGCCGGACAGATACCTAAAGTCAGTGCCGGATCAGCCGGGCTGTGGCTCGTACGTTGGACTGCGTGCGGCCAGCAGTAACAGCCTGGTTGATCAGGCCCTGATCCACCGGGAGGCCTGGTCATGGACCGGGCCGCGGGGGTGTTGATCCCCGGAATGACCTCCAGGTAACCTCCAGGTATGCCACAGCAGTTATCTGGTTAATGTGTGCTTCTGGCGACGTACTCGGTATTATACTCACCCCTAGAACTTTCTCCTTGAGTGAGGTTTGCAGTCTTTGGCCGCCTAGCATATACTCTGTCTGCGGTCTTCTTTGCCCTTCTCCGATCTTCATGACTTTGCATATGGCGGGGTTAAATTCTAGGAGCCAGTTGCTGGACCACGCGTTTAGCCTGTCCAGGTCTCTTTGTAGACCTGCTTGGTCCGCATCTGATTCAATTCTCCTCATTAACTTCACATCATCTGCAAACGGGGACACTTCCGAGTCTATCCCTTCCGTCATGTTGTTCACATATACCACGAATAGCACTGGTCCCAGGACTGACCCCTGTGGGACCCCGCTCGTCACAGGCAGCCACTGTGATACCTCATCACGGACCATGACTCGCTGTTGCCTCCCTGTTAGGTATTCTCTGATCCACTGCAGTGCCCTTCCTGTTATATGTGCCTAATCCTATAGCTTCTGTACTAACCCTTTTGAGGAACCCTGTGTCGAAGGCCTTTTTTGCAGTCCCAAAAAAATGCAATCAACCTACCCTCCCCCTCTCTTCTTACTTCAGTTACT